TCCACTGACTTGCATGGTGACTGGTATAGAGCAAGCACTTAATATTTGCTTCCTTATTAGTTGATTTGTTAGTAAGGCATGTGTTCTCTATCATTTGAGGCCTTCAAACAAAAGATAGATGACCACATTTTGGGAACTTTGTAAAAGTGGCTCCTGCTCAGGGAATGGGTTGGATGAGCTGATCTATCTGGTCATTTCTAACTCTCACATTCAACACATCTACTTAAGTCCCTATTTTGGCCAAGGCCCTGGTGACATTAAATTAAGTAGGATGTGAATGGTGGCCCTCCAGGGGCATGTAAGTAATTTTAGGAAGGAAGCTTAATGCAATAAAAGAAGACTGAATCAGAAGTCAAAGGACCTGGGCTCAAGTGCAACTTTCTAGCTGTATGACCTTAAGTAAATCATTTAACTTTCTGAGGTTTTCATTTCTAAAATAAGCATAATTAGCTGAACTATCTGCTTCAGAGAGCCTTTGTGAGGAAATCATTGTAAAAAACTTTAACGTCCTAAAAGACAAGTGAAGTTTTTAAAAATTTCATAATGATATAATGGCGTGGTGGACTTGAAGCCAGGAAGAACAGGGTTAGAATCTCACCTTAAAACACTTACAAGCTGTGTAATCTTGGGCAATTCATTTAACATCTCTGGAATTCAGTTACCCTATCTGTAAAATGAGGGGGTTGGACTTGATGACCCTCAAGGTCCCTTTTCGCCTACTCTAAATCAACGATCCTATATTAAATTCAGCAGGAATATAAAAGTTTCATATACAAAATATTTGACTCCAGACTATCTTTCTGGACTTGTTACGTATTACTGAACTCCACAAACACCTTCTAGTAAATGTGGCCTGTTTGCTGCTTCTCATACATGACAGTCTATGAAGGGCTTTCTGAACAAGATGCCCTTTATGCCTGGAATACATTTTCTTCCCAACTCAGACCGGGCTTCCTTGAAAGTTCTGTTCAGCTGTCACCTCCCACAAAATGCCCATTTCCCTCTTCCTTCCCTTGACAGCACCCTGCCTCCAGGAATCACTTTGTATGTACAGTATTCTGTCTTTAGTGTGTACACGGTTTTCCTGCCATAGAATTTAAACTCCTTGTGGGCAGGAGCTGTTTCTTGTTTGCCTATGTATCCCTAGCACCAACCACAACGCTTTGCAGACACCCAGCAAAATCTGGTTGAACTGAATGACAGATACAAGATAATACCAGTCAAGTGAAAAAGAAGGAAACCCCCATCCCCCAAATTGTGTGAACTCACCAGCTCCACAGCCACGGTGAGGCAGGGGCACTATTTTTGGTCAGTTTGATCTTCACTGCTGTGGCGTGCTGGGCCATTTTCAAGGCTCTGGATAAGGAGGGCAGAGACCCAACCAGGCCCCGAGGGAGAGGCCTCAGCTTGGAAGCAGGGACTCCTTTGTTCATCCCTGACGCTAATTCCGCGGCTGGCACACAGGCAGCACATAATAAATACCAGCTGGTTGTCTGGGTGACCAGACGCCCCACCGAGCATACCAGAGCGAAGGGAGAGAGCAACGCCCCCCCATTCTCATCCATGCGAAACTTCCTGCGCGCGCGAGCGCTGCTCACCTCCGCGCTTCTCACCCCCGCGCTTCTCACCCCCACGCTTCCTAGGCACAGCCGCACTCCCGCACCCCACGCACGAGCCGCTCAGGGGTGAAGATTCAGGCAGCCCAAATCCACGGTCTTGGCCCGGAACCTCATAGCGCCGCGGCTGCAGCTGCGAAGCTGTATGCTCCCCATGCTCTGGCGGTCCACTTTCTTCCCCTACCTGGCTTCGCGAAGCGGGCGCCTAGCTCCCAGGTTCCGCCGGTTGCCGCGGCGACGGCAGGGGCCGGAGGCCTCCTGCCCTTTGACCCAAAGCGGTGCCACTGAGCCTCCGCGAGCCCGTCTGTGCTGGTCAGGCAAAGGTTAGTGGGACTTTCAGAGAAACGTGGAAGTAACTGCCATAACGTGTAATCTTGTTCATTTCTTTTTCTGAGCAAGAAAGTTTGCATTTCTCTACCCCCCCCCCATAGTTTGAGCCTTTGAGGGAGCACCTGCTGTTGTGCGAAGAAGGCCCCAATTTGCACCAAGTGTTGTTTTTTTTTTTACATTTTATTTTTAATGTTCATTCTTCACAATCAGCTTTAGTGGCCTAGCGAAGCTGCCGAGAGTTCATTGGCCCGTGGGCTGCCCCTAACCTCAGCTGGAGGTTAAGGTAACCAAGGAAATGGACCGAGTGACCCCTCTATCACTTGTTAGCTGTTATCTCCTTGGGCATGACCCTCCATCCCACATGAAGCACCCAGTCTCCTCATTTATAAAATGGGAATAGCAGTAAATATAGGGGCCCCGAAAGACTTAGTGCAGTTTCTAGCTTTGAGCAGCTTGAAACTGCACTTGGACTTTGTGTTACTGTATCAGAGGAGTCTTGTCTGTCTTGTCCCATGGGGAGTTCCACCCAACAGACTGGAGGAATCTTCCTCCTGCACTTAAAAACACTTCATGTTAAGAGACCTGGAGATTTATTTCTTGTGCAAAATTCTCGGTGTTGATCCTTTTTCTCTCCATTTCTCTGAAGGAAGCAGAAAAGGGAGATACTCTGAGATCATAGTCTGGAGGTAAGTAAGAACAACTCATCAGGAAAAAACTGCTCTGCTTTAATACCTATGGTGCCGCTAAGCTTTCTTTGGCAATGAAAATGCATTCTCTTTGGTCCTGGGCCCAAAATTGTCTTAGGTCTCTCTTTGCCACAAACTTGATGCTCCAACTCTCACAGTTCACCATATCTAGCAAACCCTGAACCCACCACGTCTTAGGTTGTGGTGCATTATACCATGTCTCCTCTTTGCCTTTTCCGTGTCTTGCTCTGGAAACAGTAATCAATTCCATGCTACCTTTCTTGAAAAGGGTATGTCAGTCAGTTGCCCTCTCACTAATTTCACAGACCAAAAACACAACTCCCTGGCCACCCTCCCCTCTTCATGTATTGCCTTGCCCTTTTAGAATGTAATCTCTTTGAGGGCAGAGAATGTCTTACTTTTTGTCCTTGTATCCTAGTGCTTAATAGAGGGTCTAGCATTAATCTTTTATAAATGCTTGTTCGTTCATTCATTCATTGACTTCTTAGGGAAGATACTAGGAAGTAAGTAAACATTACAGGGAAGGTGTAATTTGGTTTACCCTAAGACCTTAATAATTACAAATATCTGAAAATGGAATGGCTTGCTTGATCATATATTTTGGACACAGGAGGTGTTTAAGCAGAGGCTTTCCTAGAATGTCATAGAGCGAATTTATCCATTCAGTAGGGAGTTGGGATAGCTCAGTCATGTCAAATTCAAACAGAAACAGATCAGTTCTGGCCGCATATCAACTTAGAAAACCTAATGTTAATGTTATGTTTTACTGTGTTTTTATTTATTTCATTAAATATTGACCAGTTATATTTTAATCTGGTTCTCCAGTGTGTGAAACCTCTGACCTAGATGATCTTTAAGGTGTTTTATGGGTCAGGCCTGACTTGGGTTGGTCTGTCCAGTGGTCCAATCTCAGGACTGAATCACAATGATACACTTAAGAGACCATCAAACATTTAAGAAAAAAGAAATGTACTTCATAGAAACAGAAAAGATATTCAACGAGGATATAGCACTGTCTCAGGAAAGAGACAGCCCTTGACCTCTCCACACAGAAATGCCTCTTGCCAGGGTGTGCTGACTCACATAGGAGGGACATCTATCTTGTTCCTACCACAGGTGCCTTCTAAATCTAAGGTTCCATGACAGGAGAAAAAACATTTTCCAATTGGAATTAGAATATAAGTTCACTTACAGGTAAGATTGCACATTTTATCCCCTGAAAGTAAGCCAGAGAACAAGTCCTAAACACTAAGCAAAGGAAATCTAAATCATTTCCCAGCATAAATGAAGAAATTCCTAAGTAATAGGAGTCAGAAGGATAATGTCTAAATAAGAAAGTAGGTCAGTCATGGAACAAGAGAGATGAATAACCCAGGGATAACCAAGTGCTCCACCATTCTCCATTTAATATTGGAAGAACTAGAGGAAGGTATTTTGGATGGATCTCCATGGAAAGTACGCAGGAGCACATGGATGAGCTGGGAAAAGATGGGAAGGCATACATGGGTTGGGATCTGCATTGTTAAAGGGAACATTAGTAAAATAAGATCACAGATCCCTTTAAGAACGTAAGGTTTGCATATAATGTGACAGACTTCTAATGTTCTTCATAGAGGAAACAACTTTCTTCCTCCATGCTTTCAAAGATAGAGAAACTTGATGACTAGTTAAACATCATCCTTCTGAATTTGCTACTGTAGTTAATGTCATGACCACTTTCCTCAACGCTCAGGTTCCAGACCTTGGTGTCAGTTTGATTTCTTTCTATCCTTCTTAGGCAGCTATGTGGCATAAGGGATAGAGCACCAGTCCTGGAATTAAGAAGACGTGAGTTAAAATCCAGCCTCAGACACTTGCTGTGTGGTCCTGGGCAAGTCACTTAATTCTTTGCATCAGTTTCTTCATCTGTAAAATGAACAGAAGAAGGAAATGGCAAACCACTCCAGTATCTTTGGCAAGAAAACTCCAAAAGGGGTCATGAAGAGTTGGACATGACTGAAAAACAACTGAACAAATCTCAATAAGCCCTACCTCCATATTCCACCTCCTCTCCCAGGCTTTTGTTTGAATTAAATCCAAATAAATCCTTTCCCCAGGAAAGAAACATATTTCAGACAAATCAAAAGCAAAAACAGATTTGTCAAAAGAGAAAAGGAAGCTATATCTTGCTAAAAAGCACCATAGACAATGAAGTAGTATCATTACTAAACATGTATGCACCAAATGGCATAGCATCCAAATTCTTAGAGGAGAAGTTCAGGGAGTTACAGTAAGAAATAGACATCAAATAAAGTAAGGAAAGAGAGGGAGGTAGTATTTGAGCATAAAAAAACCAAACTGATAGAAGTTAATTTCCAAACATTTTTATAAGCAACATTCACTAACTGTAGAAAACCAACTTTACTTAGTATTTTAATGCAAGTGTGAAGTATTTTCCTTGAAGCTGTCCGATTCCAGGGGCTTTAGCTATTTTCACTTGGTAGATATGCCATTTTACATCACCACAGTCAAGTCCCTTGTTCTGGCTTTCCATGGACTCTGAATCGATATAAGCAGGTATATTTGGAGTGGCCCCAATTTGTTAAAATTTTTAGTTTTATGTATAATATGTATTCAGAAACTGCATTCTAAAAATAAACAAAATACAAATCCAAATTAATATTTTATAGTTAAGCCCATCTTAAAGAATATGAAAGTAGTTCAGAAATAATTGTGAATTTAAGCTTCTTCATTTCCTTTCTGACATAAATATTTTTTAATCTTCATTTCATAGATGGAAACAATGAACTACAGAGGAGTGAAGGGATGTTCCCCAGCCTACCTTCATTCCCACACAGATCATACAGAAGAAGAAAAGGAATAGAAAGCAGGCGGTCAGATTCCTCCATATAATTCTCTGTAACAGACTTCCTACACACACATTCAAGCATATACATGTGTTCATTTTGCCTAAATTTTCTAAAAATAGCCTAATGAGCATAATGAAACAGTGATGTTTGTTTTATTTTATTTTTGTTTGTTTGTTTTTAATTTAAATTTTTTTTATTGTTTCCCTACGCTTTTGAGTTGAAAATTTTTCTCCCTTTTCCTCCCCCCCACCCTCCCCAAGAGGGCACACAATCTGATATAGGCTTTACATTTACGTACCCATTAAACATATTTTCACATTAGTGAAGTTCTAAGTGAAAATTAAAACCAATAGGAGGAACCATCGAAAGAGGAAACAAAACTCAACAGAAGGTAAAAATAAGTGATACGATTCGACTTCCATAGTTCTTTCTTTGGATGTGGACAGCATTTTCCATCCAGGCCTCTGGAATGTCTTAGATCCTCATAATGCTGAGAAAGGTTCAGTTTAACAATCTTAATCATTGCATAACGTGGCTGTTATTGTGTACAAAGTCCTCTTGGTTCTGCTCACTTCACTCAGCATCAGACGATATAAGTCTTTCCAGGTTTTTCTGAAGTCAGCCTGTTCATCATTTCTTAGCACAATAGTATTCCATTACATTCATATACCACAACTTGCTCAGCCATTCCCCAATTGATGGGCATCCTCTCAATTTCCAATTCTTTGCCACCACAAAAAGAGCTGCTATGAATATTTTTGTACATGTGGGTCCTTTTCCCATTTGTTTGATCTCTTTGGGATATAGCCCTAGAAGTGCTATTGCTGGATCAAAGGGTATGCACATTTTTGTAGCCCTTTGGGCATAGTTCCAAATTGTTCTCCAAAATGGTTGGATCATTTCACAACTCCACCAACAATGTATTAGTGTTCCAATTTTCCCACATCTCTCCAACATTTATCATTTTCCTGTTTTGTCATGTTGGCCAATCTGATAGGTGTGATGTGGTACCTCAGAGTTGTTTTGATTTGCATTTCTCTAATCAATAACGATTTAGAGCATTTTTTCATATGACTATAGATGGCTTTAATTTCTTCATCTGAGAACTGTCTGTTCATATCCTTTGACCATTTATCAATTGGGGAATGGCTTGTGTTCTTATAAATTTGTCTTAATTCTCTATATATTTTAGAAATGAGGCCTTTATCAGAGAGACTGGTTGTAAAAATTCTTTCCCAATTTTCTACCTTCCTTCTAATCTTAGTTGCATTGGCTTTGTTTGTGCAAAAACTTTTCAATTTAATGTAATCAAAATTATCCATTTTGCTTTTCATAATGTTCTCTATCTCCTGTTTGGTCATGAATTCTTCTGTTCTCCATAGATCTGATAGGTAAACTATTCCTTGTTCTCCCAGTTTACTTATGGTATCAGCCTTTATATCTAAGTCATGAACCCATTTTGACTTTATTTTGGTATATGGTGTGAGATTTGGGTCTATGCCTAGTTTCTGCCATACTCTTTTCCAGTTTTCCCAGCAGTTTTTTTCAAAGAGTGGGTTCTTATCCCAGAAGCTGGGGTCTTTGGGTTTATCAAATAATAGATTACTATAGTCATTGACTACTGTGTCTTGCATATTTAACCTATTCCACTGATCCACCTCCCTATTTCTTAGCCAGTACCAAGCAGTTTTGATGATTGCTGCTTTATAATACAATTTAAGATCTGGAATTGCTAGGCCACCTTCCCCTGCATTTCTTTTCATTAGTTCCTTTGATATTCTGGACCTTTTGTTTTTCCAAATGAATCTTGTTATTATTTTTTCTAACTCTATAAAATAATTTTTTGGTAGTTTGATTGGTATGGCACTGAATAAGTAAATTAGCTTAGGTAGGATTGTCATTTTTATTATATTAGCTCGGCCTACCCATGAGCAACTGATGTTTTTCCAATTATTTAGATCTGATTTTATTTGTGTGAAAAGTGTTTTGTAATTGTGTTCATAGAGTTCCTGGGTTTGTTTCGGAGGTAGACTCCTAAATATTTTATAATGTCTACAGTAAGTTTAAATGGGATTTCTCTTTCTATCTCTTGCTGTTGGGCTTTGTTGGTAATATATAGAAATGCTGATGATTTATGTGGGTTTATTTTATAGCCTGCAACTTTGCTAAAGTTGTTTATTATTTCAAGTAGTTTTTTACTTGATTCTCTAGGATTCTCTAAGTATATCATCATGTCATCTGCAAAGAGTGATAGCTTTGTTTCTTCTTTGCCTATTCTAATGCCTTCAATTTCTTTTTCTTCTCTTATTGCTAAAGCTAAGGTTTCCAGTACAATATTGAATAACAGTGGTGATAATGGACATCCTTGTTTCACCCCCGATCTTATTGGAAATGCTTCTAGCCTGTCCCCATTACATATAATGCTTGCTGAAGGTTTTAGATATGCTATTTATTATTTTAAGGAAGACTCCATTTATACCTATGCTTTCTAGTGTTTTTAATAGGAATGGGTGTTGTATTTTATCAAAAGCTTTTTCTGCATCTATTGAGATGATCATGTGGTTTCTGTTGGTTTTGTTGTTGATATGCTCAATGATGCTGATAGTTTTCCTAATATTGAACCAACCCTGCATTCCTGGTATAAATCCTACCTGGTCATAGTGTATTATTCTTGTGATAAGTTGCTGCAATCTACTTGCTAGTATTTTGTTTAAAATTTTTGCATCTATATTCATTAGAGAAATTGGTCTATAATTTTCTTTCTCTATTTTGACTCTTCCTGGTTTAGGTATCAACACCATATTTGTATCATAAAAAAATTTGGTAAGACTCCTTCTTCACCTATTTTCCCAAATAGTCTATATAGTATTGGAATTAATTGTTCTTTAAATGTTTGATAGAATTCAATGTAAATCCATCTGGCCCTGGAGATTTTTTCCTAGGGAGTTCATCAATGGCTTGTTCAATTTCTTTTTCTGAGATGGGGTTATTTAAGTATTTTACTTCCTCTTCGTTAATCTGGGCAATTTATATTTTTGTAAATATGTATCCATTTCACTAAGATTGTCAAATTTGTTGGCATATAGTTGGGCAAAATAATTCCTAATTATTGTTTTAATTTCCTCTTCCTTGGTGGTAGCTTCCCCTTTTCATTCTTGATACTAGTAATTTGGTTTTCTTCTTTCTTTTTTTTAATTAAATTAACCAAAGGCTTATCTATTTTATTGGTTTTTTCATAAAACCAGCTCTTAGTTTTATTTATTAGTTCAATAGTTTTCTTAATTTCAATTTTTTAATTTTTCCTTTGGTTTTCAATATTTCTAATTTGGTGTTTAGTTGAGGATTTTTAATTTGTTCTTTTTCTAGTTTTTTTAGTTGTATGCCCAATTCATTAATCTCCTCTTTTTCTATTTTATTTATGTAAGCATTTAGAGATATAAAACTTCCCCTAAGAACTGCTTTCGCTGCATCCCATAGGTTTTGGTATGTTGTCTCATTATTGTCATTTCTCTTGAATGAAATTATTGATTGTTTCTATGATTTGTTGTTTGACCCAATCATTTTTTAGGATTAGATTATTTAGTTTCCAATTATTTTTTAGTCTATCTTTCCATGGCCCTTTATTACATATAATTTTTATTGCATCATGATCTGAAAAGGATGCATTTAATATTTCTGCCTTTCTGCATTGGATTGTGAGGTTTTTATGCCCTAGTACATGGTCAGTTTTTGTGTATGTGCCATGTACTGCCGAAAAAAGTATATTCCTTTCTATCCCCATTCAGTTTTCTCCAGAGGTCTATCATACCTAACTTTTCTAATGTTCTATTCACCTCCTTAACTTCTTTCTTGTTTTGTGGTTAGACTTATCTAGTGGAGAGGGGAGGTTCAGGTCCCCCACTAGTATAGTTTTGCTGTCTATTTCTTCCTGTAACTCCCTGAACTTCTCTGTAAGAATTTGGATGCTATACCATTTGGTGCATATATATTTAGTAATGATATTACTTCATTGTCTATGGTGCCTTTTAGCAGGATGTAGTTTCCTTCCTTATCTCTTTTGATTAGATCTATTTTTGCTTTTGCTTTGTCTGAGATCAGGATTGCTACCCCTGCTTTTTTCACTTCAGCTGACATAATATATTCTGCTCCAGCCTTTTACCTTTACCCTGTATGTGTCACTCTTTTTCAAATGTGTTTCCTGTAAACAACATATTGTAGGATTATGGTTTTTAATCCATTCTGCAATCCGTTTCCGTTTTATGGGAGAGTTCATCCCATTCACATTCACAGTTATGATTACTATCTGTGTCTTTTTCTCCATCCTTTCCCCCATTTATGCTTTTCTTTCTCCTTTTTCCTTTCCCCTTCACTAGTGTTTTGCTTTTGACCACCGCCTCATTCAGTCCCTCCCCCTTTTATTATCCCTTTCTCCCCTTTAGTCTTACTGCTGCTTCCCTCCCTTCTTTCCCCCCTCCCTTTTCTTTCCCCTTTTCCCTCCTACTGCCTATAGGGCAAGTTAGATTTCTATACCTAACTGATTATATTATGCCCTTCTTGAGCCTAATCTGATGAGAGTAAGGTTCAAACAATGCTCCCCCCCCTTTCCCTCTGCTGTAATAGGATTCTGTGTCTTTTCCTGTAATGTAATTTACCCTTGTCTGCCTCTCCTTTCTCAGTACTTTTCTAAGATCAGATTGATCCACTTATTTGGATTCATTTAACCCACTTGATTAGTTTTTTTATCATTACATCAAAGTCAACTAATATCCACCCTCTTTATGTATACTCCTTTAACAAGGTGTAATAACAATACAGTTCTCAAGGGTTGCAAGTCTCATATTCCCTTGTAGGGGTTTAAACACCCCCCCCTTTATTAACAACATATTGTATCCTTCTGTCCCATTTACCTTTTTAAGTCCTTCTTGAGTCCTGTACTTGAAGATCAAATTTTTTGTTGAGCTCTGGTCTTTTTATCAGGAAAGTTTGGAAGTCTCCTATTTCGTTGAATATCCACCTCCTCCCTTGAAAAATGATGCTCATTTTTGCTGGGTAATTGATACTTGGCTGCATTCCAAGCTCCTTTGCCTTAAAGGAATATCATGTTCCATGCCCTGCGGTCTTTTAATGTAGAAGCTGCAAGGTCCTGTGTAATCCTGACTGTGGTTCCATGATATTTAAAGTGTTTGTTTCTGGCTGCTTGCAGCACCTTCTCTTTCATCTGGTAATTTTGGAATTTTGCTATTATGTTCCTTGGTGTTGTCAATTTGGGATCTCTTTCAGGTGGTGATCAGTGGATTCTTTCTATGGTTATTTTCCCTTCTGGTTCTAGGACTTCTGGGCAGTTTTTCTTTATGATTTCCTGAAAGATACTGTCCAGGCTCTTTTTTTCATCATGATTTTCAGGTAGTCCAATAAATTTTAAATTGTCTCTCCTGAGTGTATTTTCTAGGTCGGCTGTTTTACTGACCAGGTATTTTACATTTTCATTTATTATCTTTTAACTTTTTTGTTTCTGTTTGACTGATTCTTGCTCTGTCATAGAGACATTAGTTTCCATTTCTCCAATTCTAGTTTTTAACAGATTGTTTTCTTCTGTTAGTTTTTGTACTTCCTTCTTCAACTGGCCAATTGTATATTTTAGGGACTTGTTTCCTTCAGCATACTCTTCTGTTAGATTTTGTACTTCCTTCTTCAACTGGCCAATTGTGTTTTTTAGGGACTTGTTTTCTTCAGTGTATTTTTTTTCCAACTGGCCAATTGTATTTTTGAAGGACTCTTTTAACCTCTTTCATTTGACTATTAAAATCCTTCTTGAGCTCTTCTAAGAAGGCTTTTTGGGCTTCAGACCAGTTCATATTCCCTTTTGTGGTTGCAGATGTGGGTTTGTTGACAATGTTGTCCTCTTCAGAATTTCTGTCTTAATCTTCACTCTTCTCATAATATGAGTCTATGGTATGTTTCTTTTTACTCATGGTGTTTCCTTGTTCCCTGGCCCTTAAAGAGATTGAGCTCTCCTGCTGGGGAACAGAGGGTACTGACCCGAGCTTCTTGTGTTGGGAGCCTAGGTCTTGGTCACTGGCTTTGCATTCTGAGGCCTCTTATGCTGGGATTTGGAGGCTATAGGTTTCTGGCAGCTTACCTTGTGGTGGGCTGGAATCAGCAAGGGTGGAACTTTCAGGTAATTCTAGGTTGCCTGCTTTTCCTTTGCTTTAGCTTTCTTCTGCTCCTTTTAGATGGCTGCTGCAGGATGTTTATCTGCCTGGGGCCCCCTGCAGTGTTGTCTCCCTCATTTCTGCTAATGCATTGGGAGATTCCTTTGCAGTAGATTGCTGAGACTCCTTGTGGTTTTCTGAGCTGGTTTCCACCAGTTCCCGCCCTCAGTGAGGCACTTGGAGGTCCAGGTGTTGGTGTTTGCCTGCTCTACCACCTGGGCTTCAGGATTTCTTCACAATTGGAGGCTTCAGGGCTCCTACAGCTCACCTGGTGTTGGGGTGGAATCAGCAAGGTTGGGGCTTTAGGAAGCCTTTAGGTTGTTTTCTTCACCTCCTTTCAGATGAATGCAGCAGGGTACTTAGTTGCCTGGGGCCCCTTGTTTTTGCTGAGGCACTGGGAGACCCGTTTGCTGGGCTACTGCACTGCTGTTCCTTGTCTTTCTTCTAGTTCAGGTGTTCCAGGGTTCTTTTTTTCCTGGGATGATATTTTCTGGGTTTTCAGAGGTTGATAGGGGAGAGTGAGAGTGACTACCTTTTCACTCTGCCATCTTGGCTCCCGGAAGTGGAACCCTGATGTTTCTTTTATTATCAAGTTTTTGAAGCCTTATTTACAGGATTTTATATGACTTAGGCATTTCTTCATCCACTTCCTATTGGTATAGGCTTTTATGAGAATTAAATCCAAATACCTCCCTTCCCAGGAAAGAAACATATTTTTGTCTAATTATCTTTTCCCAGGTCTCTCATTACCTGGAGCTGAAATGTCTGAACAGTGATCCCTTTTTTCTCGTACACAAACTGCCCAAGGAAGATTTCTTCTCCCTCCCTTTCATCTTTGAGTCCCTAAACATATGAAAGACATGGAAGTTAGGAGATTAAGGATTATGTGAAAGACTGCTTCACCCAAATGATGAAACTTCTTCGCTCAACTAGCAACAACTCTCTAAACACTTAATTGGCTGGACAGTATCAGTTTAGGTATATTGGATTCAAATTAAATGCACTGCAGTTTGTCAGATACCATGTTCTAGGCATTGTGTTAAGTGGTACAAGAGATTCAAAAATAAAGAAGACACAATTTTGACTTTAAGTAGTTTACACTATAGCACAGCCGATAGATAGGTATCAAAATACATAACAATGTGATAATTGCCTAGGAGAAGTGGGGAGAACATTTACACTTGTTCATAGTTCCTGAGACAAGTAAAAAATTGTTAGGAGAAAAGGCAACATGAACATCACTTTTAGCAGTAACAATGACTAGCTATTTTCATTAGGCAGACTCTATTTTTTATATGGATATCTGAAAGCATTTTGCTTGTAGGAAATAGAGAAAATGGCAAATCACTTTTAGATCTGTTAGTCTCATGATGTAAAAAATATTTTATTTCTAATTTAAATCTCAGGTTACCTAAACAATTTTGTTACTTAGTATACTTTCCAAAATATAAAACATATATTCCTACCCTAGGGCTCAAGGGATCACACAGCACACAAATATATTTCCCTAGTGTGTGTGTAATCCCTTGTCAGCTGAATGAAAGTGACAGTGCATCTTATACACCTTCTTTCATGCTTCTTTCTCTACTCAGTACTTGAAAATAAAGATTAGTTTAGAAGAGAAAAAAAAGCAGGCACTGTTTTACTGGTATTCCAAAGTTTAATGTTTTGTGCCTAATATAATAACACAAAAGGAGGAGTGTGTTAGCTGAATTGATCACATTTAATAAGAAATATTTAATTATTATAATGAAATCATTTTGCCATAATAAAGTCATGTGTCCTAAAACTTAGATACATATGATAAAAGCAGGTCTGACACAACACATTTTATAAAATGACAGAATTTTAGAGTTTGAAAGAACCTTAAGTAGCTATCTATTACAACACACAAATGAAATAGAATTCTCCACTCTATAGCCAACAAGTGGTCAGGTCTCAGCTTCAAGATTTCCAATAAGGAAATGGGCTCTGAAGGCAGCCTGTTCTATATCTGGGTGGCTTGAAGCTACAAAGTTTTTCCTAACATAAAGCCTAAATTTGCCTTTTTGCAACTTCTCTCTATCACTCCCAGTTTTGTTTTATGGAAACAGACAGAACAAGTCAAATCCCTCTTCCATGTGGCAGCCCTTCAAATACCTGAATACAGTTGTCTCTTCTCCAGACTAAACAACTTCATTTTATTCAACTGATTCACCATCATGATGACCTTCCTCTAGACATACCCTAGCTAGACAGTTCAATATTAAATATTTATTTACTCATAATTTCCTACCTCTTTGCTTTTCGTATGCTATTCTATGTGTGGGATGCTCTTCCCTGCCATTATCCCCCATAAATTCCTACCCAGATTTTAGAGCTAAATTCAAATAAAAACTATTTTATCAAGACTTCCTTAGTTACTTCCTCAATTATTAAAACCTTTTTTCCTTTTTGGACTTCACATAACACTTTGCTGCTCTAATATATACTTATGTCTTATTTTTTATTATATGTCATATACCCTCCTCTAGATGGTAAGCATCATTTGGACAGTGACCTTTCTAGTGTCTAAGCAAGGGCTCTGTGTACTGTATATAATCAAGAAATATTTGTTCATTTGAATTTAAATGAACCGAGAATTCTTTTAAGTAATATGTTTTCTATGGCTAAAATATGATTTAATTAGCTAACAGAAATGTTAAAAGTCTGGAAACCTCATTGTTTGAGGGGCTATTTGAATAGAGGAAGCTGTTTCATTGGTGGTGGAATTGTGAATTGGTTCAACTGTCCTGGCAAACAATTTTGAAATATGCAAGAAAAAGTTATCAAGTTGTTCATAACCTTTGACCCAGAGAGCCCTTTACTGGAAAGGACCTTACTGGCAACACAAAAGAACATATATTTCCAAAAACATCTGTAACAGCAATATTCGTGATGATGAAAACCTAAAAGCAAAATACATGCCTAATTACAGAATTGCTAAATAATAGGATATATAAATGTAATAGAATATCATTGTATGATAAGGAATGGCAAATGTACAGACTTCAAAAAACATGGGTAAACTTGGGTGAAGTGATGCCAGATGAAGAATGCAGACCAAAACCACTACAACAGTATAAATAAGGTACATCATGAGGCAATAAAACTGTGCTTCAGTACAATGGGCAATGTTGGTATCATCCTACCAAAGTTAAAATGTAAAAAAGTTAACATCTCTTCTTTCTGTTGCTAATCATTGATCTAACTTTATTTAGAGACTGTACAAAAAGGTTTATTTTTGAGTGTTTGTTGGGAGCATACATTGTATAAAAACAAAATATGCAAATACACGTTAAAATATTGATTTAATTTGCCAAATCAGTTTGTATTCAGTGTCTCTGGAACCGTGACAATGATTTACTGCATAAATTATAATAACTCTACATAGTCAGGTATTTACATGCCCAAAGCACATTTCATCATCTTTCTTTTTCTTTTATAATAATTTGAATTTTAAATGTAAAAAAAAAAAGAGCTTACATATACAGAAAAGTCCTTGGGAGCACTGGCAGTACTTCCTGAGGGAGAAATCTTCTCTGAGATGTGCTCCATGGTAACTGCTCTTGGTATGATTTTCCTGGCAAGTTTGATTACAGTATGACCCGTAGAGCCTGGAAATGCCCAGCACTTCCCAGGATGGACATCTGGCTAAAAAAAATATAAATTATTATCCTCTTTGACCTCTTTCTAAACACTAGTTCAGTCAGTAAGTGTTGGTGAGTACCCATCATATGCCCAAGAGTAGGCTAGGTACTATGAGATACACAAAAGAATATAAAAGAAGATTCCTGCCATCAGGAGTTTACATTCTAGTGATGATGATGTCATTAATATAAATTATAATTTAGATAAATAATGAATTGTGCTCTAAATGCTGTAAAAGTTTAGAGAATAGAGAAATGAGAATGTAATAGGAAAGGCTTCATGGAGGGAAGCAGGACAAGAAGTAGACCTTGCAAGGTGAGTAGTGAAGGGGTTAGAGTGAAGTGATGCCATTGTGGAGGTGGTACATTGAGTCTGTATGAGGAAATGCCATGTTTCATATCTAGGGAGGGTTAAAGCACTTCACTCACATTGTTGTTGACTTGTGTAAGAATTGGATTTAAGGAGGCAGAGATGGCAAAGTGTCAGCCTTTCTTCTCCAGAGTCATTGAAGTCCAGTGGCAAGACAAAAGTCAAGGTGACTGGCAATGGCCTAGGATGCAGTGGATGACTTGGCCTTTCTAAATTAAAGTCTTTCCCAGGCCTCAGTTTCTCTGAGGCAATGTCCGTTCAATGACTAAGGCTAGGTAAGAATTGAGACAAAATATGGCCTAATTTACCATCACAAAGATATCAGTTTGGGAGGGGAATTGTTTTCATATCTTGGATACCAAACCCTTATCCCATTTGATTACTTTAAATCTTAACCCACTTATATCAATTTTGTTTGTGAGTGGGGAAGCAAATTGACTAGGGAGGAATAGAACTTTTCTGCCCTATTACACTGAGGGCCCAGCTGAGATTATATCATGTGAATTTGTGACCCAGTCAATGAAATGTCATAATCTTCTCTTCAGGAGCACATGAATAGGAATGAGGGAGGTGGATGGTAGAAGCAATGCTGGAGTTTGGCAAGGCGTGATCAGTGATAAGTCAAGGAAAGGGCAAGAGATTCAAGAATGAAGAATAGTGTAAAGTTGAGTTGGTTCACCAAGAAGTGAGTTAAGGAAGAGAGAATATAGCCAATGCAAGGTAATGGCCTAGGATAGACAAGAGGCGTGAAGGATATGGAGATCACTGACAATGAAAAACTTTATGATGGATTAGCATGCAAGCAGACTAGTAATACAAAAATATTGGTGTAATGAGTATAATACCAACTTCAACAGCCTTTCACAGACACTAGAGACAGGATTACTGTATCTTTAAGAGGTACAGGGAGCTAGGATTAACAATTTAACCATCATTTTATGAGAAACCTGTAAAGAGAACTGGGATCTAAATAAACTATTGTTGAAATTGAGCTTGACCCAATATTATTTTTAATGGAAAGTATTTAATTGATATCCTGAGAAGACTGAATGTTGAGATTGTTTCCAGAAATGAAGATAAGTCAGTGGCTGGGGAACGTTAGAAAAGTGGTGCCTGTAGAATGATATGATCTGCAAGATCCTTTCGAGATCTAAACTCTATGATCCCATAAACTGTGAAAAGTTAGGGGGATTATATCAGGCCTCCAGAAAAGGAGTGATTAGAGTATCTTCTCTTATCCAGCTTTAAGCACTGGGGATTCCATAATCAGGAAATTCATGAGAATGAGGAATAAGATATATTTAATTTTGGTTCTACCTGAAGAATAATATCAGGAGGCATTTCATAATGTAAGAATCCTATCTCATGCCAATGTAGTTTGGCTTTATCATTTTTGTAACTCTCAGAAGTCCATGCTTCAACAATGGAGGCACCTGAAATTAGAAAACAAGAAGGCAGAAAAAAATAAATTAGTATGATTCTAAAAATGAGAAGGAAAATGTTAAAGAAATTAAGTAGTATAGTTTGTTCTCAGGAAATCGCAAATTTTAGTGGGTTTGTCAGCAGGTTTGGTGAAGGGAGTAATCCATATCCACAGTGAAATCACAGCTCTTTTAAATTACTGTGTGAAAAAGTCTTCATTCTATCTAATTTACCTTTTATTGCCCAGGCAGGGTTATAAAGGACTAATGATGAAACATGCTAACTTCTTCTTGATAGAAATGTGAAGGACTCAGAATGCAGAATGAGACAATTTTTTTTTGTCATAGCAAACATTGGAAATTTGTTTTGATTGACTATATATTTATAATAGGTTTTGTTTTTCTTGTGTTCTCAACTGGTGGAGGTGTTAGGAAGTTTGAAGGGCAAGTGGGAAGGAGGATCTTGACTGATTTAAAATATATAGGTGTTCACTCTACCTAGTTCTTTCAAAGAGAAAAAAGATACTAACTATCCTTTCTGTCTTCTACCATATACTTCATATGTTCCCTCTTAAACTGCCAGGTACAGGATCATGTTTTTCTTAGTGAGAAGTACGAAGGATGGAAACACTGAAGTTCTATGTACAGATATAGAAACATATACAAGTTTGCAGCCAATTCTCTTGTCATGAGTTTTATTTGATCAGTATGTAACTCACCTGCAGATTTGAGGGCATAGTCAGCCATCTGCACTTGATCTTCCCTTAACTTTTTAAGGATATAATTCACCAGAGACATCTCCTGTGAGGAAATGAATGGTTTATAGTTAACATACAGAGATACTTGTACTGTGTCACAATTAAATTTATCACCCTGATGTGGAGGGGTTCCAAATGCTGTTTTGGGCTTAAATGTTTATTAGAATCAAACTTCTTTTATACTATTGTATTTAGAAAATTTGTTGTTTTAGTGTCTTCCAGATTGCTCTCTATTTAGCATTAATTTTCTATGACTGAGAATATTATTTTCTAATACCATTACTATTGAGAGAAGCATTATGATACAGTTGAAAGAGTGATGAACTTGGAGTCCAAACACCAAGATTTCAATACTGGCTCTGCCCTTTCTAAGCTGTGTGACCATGGAGCAGTTGTTTCACCTCTCTGGGAATCAGTTTTCTCCTCTGTAAAATGAGTAACAAGAACACTTGTTTTACCTACTGTATGGGATTACAATGAGAACTCTGTAAATTTGTAATATACCTGTAAGCTATCATCATATTATTAATACTAATAGCACTCATTTATTAATGTTAAGTAAGATTATTATGTAATAGTATTGTTATTTTTAAAATAACACTTCTGGTTTTAACATAAAGTTATGTTTACATCTCCATAACTCGTATATTGTCATACCTGGAATATTTTTGGTTAGCAAAATGAAAGGAGGGTATCTCTGGAATCTTAATTCCATTTGCTGTGATTAGGATAGAAGTTTTATGAACTGTTAGTTCTGTTTTTCATAAAATTATTTTTTCAAGGAAAATAATAAATGTTGGATGGATGTGGCAAGACTGGGACACTAAGATACTGTTGGTAAAGTTGTGAACTGGTCTAACCATTCTGGAGAGCAATTTGGAACTATGCCCAAAGGGCTGTAAAACTGTGCATACCCTTTGATCCAGCAATGGCACTGATAGGTCTGTATCCCACAGAGAGGAAAAAAAGGAAAAGAACCTATTTGTACAAAAATATTTATAGCAGCTCCTTTTGTAGTGAGCAAGAATTGGAAATTGTGGGGATGCCTATAAACAGGGGAATGGCTAAACAAGTTGTGGTATGTGATTGTAATGGAGTATGACAAGCAGGATGATTTCAGAAAAACCTGGAAAGACTTACATGAATTGAAACAAAGTGAGGTGAGTAGCACCAGGAGAACACTGTACACAGTAACAGCAATATTTTATGATGAAGACCTATGAATGACAACTATTCTCAGCAATACAAGACAATCCCAAAGGACTCATCAGGAAAAATGCTATCTGCCTCCAGAGGAAGAACTGATGTCTGAATACAAACTGAAGCATACTACTTCCCCCTTTCTTTCTCTTTCTTTCCTTCTTTTTTTTTTCTTATTTGAATCTTCTTGCATAAAGTGATGAACATGAAAATGTTTACATGATTGCTCATGTATAACCTATATCCAATTGCTTAGCATCTCAGGGAGATGGATGGGAGAGAAGGAGGAATAGATTTTGGAATTCATATACCACAACTTGTTCAAAACTTTAAAAAAATGTTAAAAATTGTTTTTACATGTAATAGGGGAAAAATAAAATATTATTTTAAAAAACTAATGGGGAGTTTGGGGGAAACATGGGATAATGGTATCATGAGTGAAAAACATCCCCAAAGGTAGCCTGAGGCACATTGTCTTCAACCAAGATAACAGTTTATCAGTAAGGCCAAATCAATAATAAAGGGGCCAATGGCTTGTCTCAATTTATGGCAAATACCTAAGAGGAATATTTCACAAATTTTTATAAGGTTAGAACAAAGAACAGAATAGACGAGGTGATATCATATGGTTGTGGACAATGTGATTGTTACATAACTAAAGCAAGGGGAACAAAATTATTGGTTTGAAGTTGGGAATCTAGAAACTAGCGATAACCCCCACCTTCCCTCCTGTGACTAAGTATTCATTGTTTGAGTCCATGGTAAGAGCAGGGGCCAGACTTCTTTGAATAACAAACTAGATATCTTTGAAGGATAGCTTAATGGTGTAAGATACAAGACCAGACTCTATGGTCCACCTGTATCCCTCATAACAGATTTTCTTAAGTGAAGAATAGAACAGTGATTAACAGGAGAAGTTGGTGTCCAAACTTAATTCCTTATAGACCAGTTGAATTCCTGAGCCAAGTTTAGAGACAAAGAACCATGATTTAGGTGGTTACAGAACAAAATCAATTTCAGAATGAAATAAAATATAAAATCCATGCTTGTTTTTCTCAATGGAAAAAGCAGTATGCTAGAAATCAGGGACCTTAGATTATACAGCCACATGTAACTTTGAAGAAACCTCTGGGTCTCTATTTCCTCATGTGTAAAATCAAGTGGATTGGACCAAAGGCTTTCTGATAACCCTTTCCATCTCTGAATTTCTGTGATTCCTGACAAAAACTTGAATTTTTTTTGTAACAAGATATGACCTAGGGAGAGAAGGCAGTGGCCTCTTTCACTTTCATTTTGCTGTCATTGTTTAATTGTTTGCACATGGCATGAAAACAGATATAGACCCTAATGATGAGCCTATACAATGGTTCATTTGTATAAATGGCTAAATTACTGGTTCATTCAATTTTGTGGGTTCCATGGGTGCTACTCTAGAAGCCAAATAGTCTGTCATTCATCTTCCTTGCTCAGTGAGTCATCCAGCATCTTTTGAATACACTGCATCTAATATATCTGGAGGCAGATAGCATTTTTCATCATGAGTCCTTTGGTATTGTCTTGGATCACTGTATTGCTGAGAATAGTTGTCATTCATAGGTCTCCATCGTACAATATTGCTGTTACTGTGTATAATGTTCTCCTGGTGCTTACTCACTTCACTTTGTATCAATTCATGAGTCTTTCCAAGTTGTTCTAAAATCTTCCTGCTTGTCATTTTTTTATAGCACATTATTGAAATACTATTACTCTTGGGATGGTGTAACACACTCATCTTTGGATAGTCATTAATCATTAGGTTATCAATTTGCATTGTTAGCTAAAGTATAAATGAAATGAGCATGTAGAATTGCTGGGTGACTACAGTCCTGAATGAAATGTGGAAATGGGGTGGGGAAAAGACAAGAAGAGGGAAGCTATGGGTTGAAGGTACCCAACATGACATTATTGGGTATTTGGGAGAAGGTATGAGGCAGAACCACTAAACAAAAGGTTTGTCGAATTCAATATGTTTTTCCCAGAACTTCTACTGATTCAAACAAGTGCGTCTCTGTATGTGTCTTAGAAATGGACCTAGTAAAAACCTAGCAGCTTTAAAATGTTATTTCTTTGCCTGGATTAAAAACAAAATAAAATTAACCATTTCTCTAGGCAAGAAGTCAGCCTCACCAAATCTTGAGAAGGTGAGAAAAGTAAGCTAGTTCTAGAGTTAAAGGCATAACTTGTGCCAGGGCTAAATTAGGGTGGGAAGGGGGAAAAGAGAAACCTGATTTGGCCTTAACACAATGATTTCATGCAAAGATTTTATTAAAAATATAAAAAACAGAACCCCAAATGCCTCTAAATCCTTTCTTGCCTCATCAGTAATATCTGAGATTTCCGGCTTTCCAAAAACATCTGCATCAGCCTTCAGAATGTCGTTCTCCAGTTTCTCTTTCAGATCTTTGAGTAAAGCCTTCAGGATATCTATCCGTTTGGTCAGGGACAGAATTTGTTTAGAATTGTTTTCCAGATCACGACTTCCCTTCCTATTAAAAAATAGGATATTGATTAGGAAGCAGAAAGAGGCAAAAGACCACCCACATTTTCCTATTTACCTAAATAACTACTGTTGTGCTTTAGTAGGCCATCAACATAGGTACTTAATATATTTGTACAAACTATATATTATAATATGTCACAATATAAAACTTAAAATAGTAGAGAAGTATGTTTCAGAGAGAGTAGAGAATGGAGAATGAACATTTGTTTAGAAAATATAATTGCCATAAGAGTCGAGTGCTAAGGGCATTATAGTTGTGACAGAGATACCTACTATTGGTATGACTTTAAGCCTTTTTTCTCTTCATGCTCCTGTTTCTAGCAGCATAATATAATGAAAAGAGAATTTAAGATACCTGAGTCAAAATCCCAGCTCTGCCACTAATTAACTATGTGACCTAGAAAAGTCACTTAACTTCTCCGGGCCTCAGTTTTTGGGGTTTTTTTTCTTTCTTTCTTTCTTTCTTTCTTTCTTTCTTTCTTTCTTTCTTTCTTTCTTTTTTCTTTGTACAAAGTGAACAGTTAAATTAGATTGCCTCTACACATTTCCTTCTAGTTCCAAAGTCTAAAATTCATTTAAAAAAATGGGGATATTCTCTTTCAGTGATGTTACAGAAAGAAACAAAATTTAATAGTTTCTAAAGAACTATATAACTCTTAGATTATATGTAGAGAAGTCACAGAGTGTAGTGGGTGAATAGAATGCCAGACTTAGAATCAGAAGAGCTACGTTCAAATCCTGCCCTTCACATTTGCCTTTGATGGGCCCTTGACCATGCCTTTGACAGGCTTTGTGACCATGAGCAAGCCACTTATGATCTCTGATTCTCAGACAACTAAGACTAAATTATGAATGCCTTGTAATTTGCATGTGAGTAGAGGAAGTTCCTACCCCATGAGATTACAAATTAAAATGATTTTTATGACCTCAAATATATAACATTTTGAGGAAGTGACAGTTACAAAAAGGTTGTGATAAATTTCATGGGATCATGGGCTTTGATGCTAGAAGGGATATTAAGTCATTAAGGCCAACTTTTTTGGTATGTTTTTTAAAAGGAGGAACGGAGACCTCATGAGTAGATAATCTCCTAAAATTCATACAGGTAAAGTACAAGAATTAGGAATTGAGGCCAAACTTCTGACTGCCTTGTGAATCTTTCCACCAGACTCAACAAAATGGTTCCCTTATAAACACTATTATTCTTTTGAGGAAAACAACCTTCAATAAATACCTGTCTCTCTAAACACTAATAATTCTCTTGTACAAGAGAAAAAAGTGCTGCCTTAAATTTATTGTTAAAATGTGGCTGGACCACGTAATAAGTAGGCTTCCTTCTACCTCTGGAATTTCACTATTCTATAGGATCACATTGCATCTCTCTGACAAAAGACTTGGACAATACATAGTGTTGTAAAAAGGAAAAGACAAATTTCCATCCTGCACAGTGACTCAGGCCTGATGTAGAAGCAGTACTGGACTGGATGACATGGCTCCAAGGCCTGACTTCTCCACTGATTCACAGTGTGACCTTAGGCAATGCATTAACCTGTGTCTCAGTTTCCCTCTATATAGAATGAGAATAATATTTTCTTTACCTGTATTATAAGGTTATTGGGAAGATGAAATGACAAAACATATATGAAAGAACCGTATCAAGTTTAAAGTGCTGTGCACATGTAAAGCACTTTTATAAGCCATACTTCAGATATAAAGATAATACAACCCCTTATATACCATGTAATATTAGTTGCTTTTTTAGTATTGATTATAAATTTGCCTAAGTCCACTTAATATTCTTTTACACCATAATGCCCTTGCTGCCAGGGTCAGTTTAATCTAAAGCCATTGAACAGAGTATATTGTTCCACAGTGACATCAAAATCATTTGTATAATGCTTTAAGTCAGGGGTGGGGAATCTGCAGCCTTGAGGCCACATGTGGCCTCCTAAGTCCCTGGGTAGGGCCTTTTGACTGAGTCCAAGTGTTACAGAAAAAATCCTTTAATTAAGGGGATTTGTTCTGTGAAGTTTGCATTCAGTCAAAGAGGCACACTTGAGCATCTAGAGGGCCACATGTGGCCTCGAGGCTGTAGGTTCCCCACTCCTGATCTAAGGAACTGAGGAAGTCAGTCACAGACACATTTATAGTGTCACAGAATCATATATCTGGAAGAGAAGGTAACAGAGACTATCTCTACTAATCTAACAATGCTGGGCAATCAGGAAATTGGATGCTATTTTTTTCTTAATTAACATTATCTCAATGTTATCAATATTCCTCAAAGTATGACCCAATACTTAAGTGAACCATGTCCCAAAAGCATATGCAAAAATGTCCAAAAGCTCCATGATTCACAGATCAGCTGTGTTTGTAAGCCTGTGTTTTGGGAAATGGTTAGCATTGGTGGTTAGGTCACCAAAAGTTTATTTAATCCTTAATATATCTAAAATAACTGCATATTTGCAATGAAGAACTATAGAAAACAATACTGCCATAATTTTATTAACAGTAAAAAACAATAAATTGGAATTTAAATTTTTTTTAAAATGTATTGTGAATACTGGTTCTTGAGGAAAGGCAAGTATGATTAGAGAAAGACCAAGAGATGGAAATATTCATAGAGATTCCAAATCGAACTTTGGGGTATTTTCCAGGACTTTAGAGCTTTGTGGTTGTTTATGACATGTAATTTGACTTTAAAACTTACAATTTTTCTTTCCTTTGGTGTAGTTAGTCCATAACATTTAAGGCCTACTTGCAGATATAGCCTGTTCTCAAGGTCTAGGACCAATCTCACCTATAACAGGAGAAACACAGGGAACCTTGGATCCAAAGTTCAGTCTTATTACTTTTGGTCTTGCTCTGACCTTGTATCCTCATTCCAAAAATTGGACTCTTGTCTTGTGCTTTGTGTTCAATTCCAGCAAACAGAGCCTCATCTTGTTCACTTTATGGAACCCTGCTTTGATTCCCTGCCGAATACTTCAGTCCTTACCCCCCCATTACCTCTAGACCTTTTAGGCCTGCCTAAAAACTCCACATTCTGTGGTTCCTCACTAATTATCAGACTTTCCCGATTCAAACTAGATAGCTGGAGATCTGCTATCATCTGCTGAATGATTCTCCTACAAATATGCTTCACCTTCCTGCTAGAGCATTTACCTGTTGCCCAGTACTAGATTTCTCTGACACAGAATACCTGCCTACCTGGACTTCTGTCTGTTCCCATAGCCTGTTCTGATTATCTAGTTTCTAAGTCACAGACATCTGCTATGGGGTTTTTCCTGCTTCCAAAGGAAGGTCTGTTTTGACAATACCACTCTTGTATGTATAAAATATACTTTGGGCTGGTTTTTGTGTGTATTGGGAAAAAGGAGGTTGGGTGTGATATATGACCTTTTTTAGGCCCATAAGTGAATGAAGAAAGAACAAGGTAGTAAGGTAGGGAAAAGTTGAGAGGTTTTCCTCAGGTAAATGGGCAAGTGTTAGAAGAGAAGAAGGAATGAATAAAAAAAAAAGTATATGTATATGTGAGATAGAATGAATCCAAGGTAGAATTATGGATAAGGGTGATGAAGCAGAAGAAAAAGATATACTGAAGTATGTGCAAGGTGCCCGTGTGAAGAGAAGGGAGGTGATGAAGGCACCTTGGGTCAGTCACCCACCCATAGCAGGCATAGGGGATGCCACTGAACCAGGACAAATTCTTTGCTCCCTGAAGAGAGCAGGGTGGAGATAGAGGGGTCCCAGGATAGATGGAATTGGGATAATGTGCAATGTACCATTTGTACAAACAGAAACATCATAAGTGCTTTTAATTTGAGGAGTGACTATACTAAGATGATAGGGTAGAGTTAAGACAAGATTATTGGGCTAGGCTCCAACAGATCTGGGTTTTCTTCGAGGTTCTATCACTGCCTTACTATGTGAGTATGATCAACTCACTCTCTGGGCTTTGATTTCCTCTTCTTTAAAATGAAGGGTTTCAACTAAATAGTCACCAGGGTCCCTTCCAACTAAAAGAGTCTAATCAATTACATTTTTTAAGTGTAAAAGAAAAAAAAACATGATCTTGGTTGGCATGGAAGAAAATATTTGGAAATATATTTTACTATTAAATACATATGTGTCCCTTAAATCACCCCAAAGATGGTATTTTTCCAAAGTAGTAAGGCATACACAACAGAATAAACAACAACAACTCACTTTAGAAGTTCTATTTTGCCTTTCCCCATACGAATTCTGGCCTGTAAGAAAAAAAGTAGGTTGAACAAATCATTCTGAAATCTCCCCATTCAAAGCTAGGTATTTGTAAAAATGTGTTTGTATGAAATCCACATTATTCTGTGATAAACTTTTGATATATCTACCATGTTTCAGGTTTCTATGCTACTACAGAGAATATATATTTAAGAAAGGTGAAAGTCATAGCTACTAATATTGAAAGAGTAATAAAAAAAAGATAAGGGATGTGTAAGATTAAATTTGGTGGAGAGGCTACATAGCAGCCTTATAATATTTACCAAGATTTTGCTATATGAAATTGTCACTCCAGTAAAAGTCGATGAGCTATCATTTATTAAGTTCCTACTATGTACCAGGCACTGTACTAAGTGCCAAGGATACAAAGGCAAAACACAGTACCTTTTCCAAAAGACCTCATACTCTTTTTTTTCAATAATTAATTAATTTACTTTTAGTCTTAAACCTGCATTTCCATAAGATTTTAAGTTTTAAATTTTCTTCCCCTCCTTCTCCTCCCCCCTCCCCAAGATGGCATGCAATCTGATAGAGGCTCTAATTATACATTCATATTAAACATATTTTCACATTAGTCATGATGTAAAGAAGAATTAGAACTAATGGGAGGAACCACAAGAATGAAGAAACAAAACAAAAGAAAAAAAAGGAGAGCAAATAGTATGCTTCCATCTATACTCAGATTCCATACTTCTTTCTCTGGATGTGGATAGCATTTTCCATCACAAGTCTTTTAGAGTTGTCTTAGATCCTTGCATTGCTGAGAACAGCTAAGTCTGTGAAAGTCAGTCATCATACAATGTGGCTGTTATTGTGTACAATGCTCTTTTGGTTCTGCTTATTTCACTCAGCATCAGTTCATATAAGTCTTTCTAGGTTTTCCTGAAGTCCACCTGCTCCATCATTTCTTATAGCACAATGGTATTCCATTACATTCATACACCACAAGTTGTTCAGCTATTCCTCAATTGATGGGTATCCTCTCAGTTTCCAATTCTTTGCCACCACAGAAAGAGCCACTATAAATATTTTTGTACATGTGGGTCATTTTCATGTTTTTATAATCAGACCTAGAAGTGGTATTGCTCTTTGGGCATAGTTCCAAATTGCTTTCCAGAATGGTTGGATCAATTCACAACTCCACCAACAGTTCATTAGTGTTCCAACTTTCCCATATCTTCTCCAGCATTTATCATTTTTTGTTTTCTCACATTGGCCAGTCTGATAGGTGTGATGTGGTACCTCAGAGTTAGGAGCTCACATTCTTATGGAGAAGAAAACATGCAAACAACTATGTACAAACAAAATAATTATAGGATAAATTGGGGTAGTGTCAGAGGAAAGGTATTAAGATTACGGAAGTCTAGGAAAAGTTTCTCACAGTAAGTTGGACTTTATCGGAGACTTGAATGAAACTAAGGAAACTGAGAAACAGACATGAGGTTTCCTACTGCAGGCATGCTAAATGATCACTGAAAATTCTGGAGCTGGAAGACAGAGTGTCAAGAAGTAGGAAAAGCAAGGAGGATAGTGCCACTTTATCACAGAATACATAGACAGGAATAAGATATGAAAGTGAGAAGTCCACAACAGGAAGAAGGAGGCAGGCTTTCAATACTAAACAAAGGATTTTATATTTTATATTAGAGATCATAGGGAGCCAGAAAAGTTTACTGAATATGGGAGTGGAAAGGTCAGACTTAGGCAGACATAGGAGGATCCCTTTGACAACTAAGTGGAGGATGGATTGGAGTGGGGAGACTTGTGGCAAGAAGAATAACCAGCAAGTCATTGCAATTGTCCAGGCATGAGGTGATGAAGGCCTGAATCAGGGTGGTTGCAGGGTCAGAGGACAGAAGGAGAGATAGATCAATGATATTACGAAGATAGAATTGATAGCACTTGGCAAATGAGTAGATATGAGGTGTGTGAGAGAGGGAGGAGTCGAGGATGACAACCAGGTTCTGAGACTAGGACGATGGCGGTAAGGCTTGAAAGGGACTGATAATGAATACAGTTGGGGACTTATTGAGTTGAAGATGTCTATAATATGCAGTTTGTGATGTTTAATAGGCAGTTAAAGTTGTGAGACTAGAGGGCCAGAGAGAGGTTAGGTCTGGAAAACTGGATAAGTAGATCTGAGAACCATCAACATAGAGATGACAATTGAAGCCATGGGAGCTGATGAAATCACAAAGCGAAATAGTACAGAGGGAGAAGAGAAGGCCCAGCACAGAGTGCTGTGAGATGTCTATGGTTAGTGAAGATCACCTGGATTGAAATTTTTACCAAGGAGACTGAGACAGATTGGTCAGACAGATAAGAGGAGAAACATAAGAGAGCGGTATCACAAAACCTTAGGCAAGTATCAAAGGGAAGAGAATGATCAACAGTGTCAAAGACTGTCCAGAGGCTAAAAAGGATGACTGGCAATTATTAAATCACTGATAATGTTGCAGAGAGCAGTTTCAGTTGAACGATGACATTAGAAGCTAGACTGCAGAGAATTAACTTGAGAGTAAGAAAAAAAGGAAGTAGAGGGGTCATCTCAAGGAGTTTAGCCACAAAAGAGAGGAGAAATATAGGATAATCAGGGCAAGTAGGTGGCACAGTGGACAGAGCTCCACCCTTGGAGTGAGGAGGACCTGAGTTCAAATCTAGTCTCAGATACTTGACACTTCCTAGCTGTGTGACCCTGGGCAAGTCACTTAATCCCGATTGCCTCACCAAAAAGCAAATCAATTATATGTGATAAGAGCCAGTAGGGAAGGACAGATCAAGTGAGGGTTTTTTGAAGTTAGGAGTGTGATATGGGCATGTTTGTAGGCAGTAGGGAAGCAGCTAACAGACAGAGAATGAAGAGAAGTGCAACAGTAGAGATGATAGAGGGGACAAACTTCTAGAGAAAATAAGATAGAATGGGGTCATGGAGAAGGGTTTTACCTAAGAGTCTCAATCTTCATGTGAGATAGAAGAAAGGAGGAGATGGTGGCAGAAGGCATTTGGGTGATGTGAGGTGAAAGAAAAGGAAGCTCTCTGAGAATGGCCTCAGTTTTTTTTCAGTGAAATATGAGACAGGGTTCCCAACTGAGAGTGTGGGGAGATGGGGAGAGATGAGGGAGGTTTGAGGAGGGATGAAAAGGTTTAGAAAAGCTACTGTGGGTGAATGGGAGAGTAAATCAATTAGTGAGGTTTCCCTTGCCTCAGTAAGAGCCCAGTTAAGAACTTATAGTAGACCAATCTGCATGATTTTTTTCCCCTCCACTTTTGTTTAGCCTAAAATTGCTAGTTGATGAAAGTGTTCTTAGGTTAGTATGGAGTTAGCTTTGTGCTCTCAAAACTTTTGCCAGTGGGAGTGTGAGATCTAGCAGATTCTACTAAGTTTTGAGAATGGTTCCAGGGATAGAATTTATATCTGTCATCTGAGTATTAGCCTGGAGAGGTTTAGTAATTGTTGAGTGGCCACCATGGTATATAACAGTTTAAAAATTTATGTCAATAAACTATTGAAAGATAATTATTTCTTCGAGGAATATGCCTGACTCATATTCAGCATAAATCTATGCATTGCTACTATTCATGAAGTACTTCCAATGTCTCAGTCAAATCTTGTTACAGGAAATACTTGCAATGAAAATATTCATGCCATATTTATGGAATCTAAGCATCTATGATTCTCTTATGTTAGAAGATATGTCAGAGCAATTTAGTCCTATCCCCAACAAAAGCATAAATTTCTTCTATTCTACATTAGTCATCCAGTCTACTTGAATACCTCCATTGACAGGAAACTCATTACCAAATAAGCCATCCAATTCAATTTTGAACAGCCCAAAATGTTAGAAAATTCTTTGTTATATTGAGCTAAAATTTCCTTCATTCGAACTTTTGCCAATAAGTTCCAATTCTCTCTCATATGGATGTAAGTGGAATAAATTTAAACCTTTTTCCTTGTGGAAACTCTTCTTACATCTGAAAAAAAACCTCAACGATGTTCTCCATAATGTTTTTTCTTCAAGATAAGGATCCCCAGTTCTTTCAATCACTTTTCATATGCCATTGTTTTCAAATCCCTCTAAACATTCTGGTTCCCGTCCTCTGTACAAGTACCTGCTTGTCAATGTCTATTTTAAGCTAGATGCTTATGAGTAAATACAATATTTCATATATAGCCTGATCATCAAAGAATGTAGTGAGACATCACCTCTCTTGCTTTGGAAATTATATTTCTTTTAACTTATGGGATCATAGGTTTAGACTAGAACAGAACTTAAAAATCATCTAAATTAACACTATCATTTAGGGGGTGGAGCCAAGATGGCAGAGTGAAAGCAGTGACTTGCTTAAGCTCTCCCCCAAACCCCTCCAAATACTCATAAAAAATGGCTCTAAACAAATTCTGAAGCAGCAGAACCCACAAAAAGACAGAGTGAAACAAATTTCCAGCCCAAGACAACCTGGAAGATTGATCAGAAAGGTGTATTGCACTGGGCTGGAAGCACAGGGCAGTGCAGCATAGGCTTGCAGGCTGCAGTGAACCTGGAGCAGGCCTCAGGGGACTGAATCATGGGTAGCTGTGGAAATTTCCAGACTCCTCAATCCACAAATTCCAAAGACAACTTAGAAGGTCACTGGAAAAAGTCTGTTTCTCTCAGTGCTAAGAGAGGAAGGCGGGGTTTCAGCTCCATTCCCCAAGAGCATGGCACTGTGGGGGGGTAGCTGCTTCCCGAGCTTCTGGCCCACAGACTGAGGGGGAATCCAGTGGCTGATCAGAGAAGGACTGCAGGGATCTCTTTGCCAGTGCTGAGGTAGAAATCTCTTGCTTTACCCGTGTTTGGATCTGGGTCACAGTTCTAGGCGGTGGTGCTGGGGTGAGAAGGAGCACTGGCATGGAGGAGCTTGTAGTGGCTGTGGAGAGGAGCCCCTTCCCACAGTTACAGGACAGAAAAGAGTACTTGTGTTCACAGGCCAGGAAAGCAGTAAACACCTCGCCCCTTATCATACCACCTTGCAAGAGCTGAAAATTTAGAGGTCCCTACAGGTATCTCTGAAACCAGCTATACAAACCCATGAAGCTTGGGACAGTACAGTCTCCACATTGGAAGCAGACTCTTACCTTAACAAAGAGTTTAAAACTCAAGTAATTAGCCAGGATCATGAGCAAGCAGCGCAAAAAGAGTCAGACTATATTATCTTACTTTGGTGAAAAAGAAGATCAAAATATACAACCAGAAGAAGACAACAAAGTCAAAGGTCCTACATCCAAAGCCTTAAAGAAAAATTTCAATCTGTCTCAGGCCTTGGAAGAGCTCAAAAGGGATTCTTAGAAGCAAGTAAGGGAAGCAGAGGAAAAACTGGGAAGAGAAATGAAAGCGATGCAAGAAGATCATGAAAAACAAGTTAACAGCTTGCTAAAGGAAACCCCAAAAAATACTGAAGAAAATAACACCTTAAAAAATAGCCTAACCCAATTGGCAAAAGGGGGTCCAAAAAGCCAATGAGGTCCTAAAAAGAAAAATTGGCCAAATGGAAAAGGAAGTCCAAAAGATTACTGAAGAAAATACTTCCTTAAAAATCAGGATAGAGCAATTGGACGGTAGTGACTTTATGAGAAATGAAGACATTGTAAAACAAATCCAAAAGAATGAAAAATTAGAAAATAATGTCAAATATCTCATTGGAAAAACAACTGACCTGGAAAATACATCCAGGAGAGAGAATTTTAAAATTATTGGACTATCTGAAAGCCATGATCAAAAAAAGAGCTTAGGGATCATCTTTCAAGAAATTATCAAGGAAAACTGCCCTGATATGTTAGAACCAGAGGGCAAAATAGAAATAGAAAGAATGCACAGATCTCCTTCTGAAAGAGATCCTCAAAGGAAAACTCCTAGGAATATTATAACCAAATTCCAGAGTTCCCAGGTGAAAGAAAATATTACAAGCTACCAGAAGGAAACAATTGAAGTACTGTGGAAACACAATCAGGATAACACAAGATTTAGCAGCATGTACATTAAAGGACTGCAGGGCATGGAATATAATATTCCTGAGGGCAAAGGAGATAGGATTACAACCAAGAATCACCTACCCAGCAAAACTGAGTATAATCCTTCAGGGGATAAAATGGTCATTCAGTGAAACAGAAGACTTTCAAGCATTCCTGATGAAAAGACTAGAGCTGAATAGAAAATTTGACTTTCAAATACATGACTCGAGTGGAACATGAAGAGGTAAACAGGAAAGAGAAATCATGAGAGACTTATTAAGATTCAACTGTTTACATTCCTGCGTGGAAAGATGATATTTATAACTCAGGAGACCTTTTTCAGTATTAGGGTAGTTGAAGGAAAAAAAATATATGTATGTATATATAGATAGACAGATAGGTGGCACAGGGTGAGTTGAAGATTAAGGGGTAATATCTGGAGAATAAAATTAAGGGATGAGAGAGGATGATACTCAGAGAAGAAGAAAGGGAGAGGTAGAATGGGGTAAATTATCTCACAAAAAAAACCCCAGAAAAGTCTCTTACAGTGGAGGGGAAGCAGGGGAAGGTGAGAGGGAATGAGTGAATCTTATTCTCATAGGATTTGGTTTAAGGAGGGAATAACATACACATTCAATTGGGTATGGAAATCTGTCACACCCTACAGGAAAATAGGGGGAGAAGGGGACAAGACAGCAGGGGGATGATAGAGAGGAGGGTTGCTTGGGAAAGGGGGTAATCAGAAGCAAATACTTCTGAGGAGGGGCAGGGTCAAAGGAAAGAATAGAATAAATGGGAGGGTAGGATAGGATTAAGGGAAATAGAGTTAGTTTTTCAGAACAGGTCTACTATGGAAGTCTTTTGCATAACTGCACAAGTATAACCTATATTGAGTTGTTTGCCTTTTCAGTGAGGGTGGGTGGGGGAGGGAGGAAGAGAAAAATTTTGAAACCTAAAGTTTTAAAAACATATGTTTAAAAAAATGTTTTCACATGCTACTGGGAAATAAGAAATACAGGAGATGGGGAGTAGAAGTCTATCATGCCCTAGAGGAAAATACAAGGGGAAAGGGATAAGAGAAGGGGGGAGAGAGAGAAGGGGGGGAGAGAGAGAAGAGAGGACAGACTATGGGAAGGTATATTCAGAATGCATGCCATCTTGGGGTGAGGGGAGGGAGGAGATGGGGCAAAAATTTGGAACTCAAAAACTTGTGGAAGTGAATGTTGAAAACTGAAAATAAATAAATTTATATTTTAAAAAACAAAAACAAAAAACAAAACCAAAAAAAATGACTTTCATTTAAAAAATAAGGCAAGTGAAACCAAAGAGGTTTGTGAGCTGTGCTAGGTTTAAGACTGAAATAGCTTTTTGGATGCTACATCACATTGTTCACTCACTGAGCTAAAGCCCCCAAATTGTTGCATGTCTCTCCCATCTTACATTTGTAGTTTGACTTGAAACCTGAATGTAGGACTTTGCATCTATCCCTATTCAATTTCATCTATGTTTTGCCCATTGCAGCCTGTTGAAATCTTCTGCAATGTTGATTTTTTAAAGAAAAATATTATTAGCTTTCCCTTAATTTCATAATATCAAATAATTTGAAAAGCATGTGAAATGTTTTCATCTAAGTCATCAAGAAAAATTTAATGGAAAAAAGAGTAGACGGAGCTGCAATAGAAGCTTCTACAAATTTAGCTTAGTACTCTTTGGATCCATCTAATTAGTCAAGTAACAACAAATTATCCTAATTATACTACCATATAACCTACTTTTCTGTCTTTTGTCTGCGTTTAATATGAAAACTCAATACCAAAAAAAATAGCCTAAACACTGAAATATCACACATGGAATCAGAGAAATCAAACAAATAACTCTTTGGTCTCATCTCCTTGTTCTGTATAACATGCTATAATATTTCTTCTGACAAAGCAGTGTTAAGCAACATATTCCCTTATGATAAAATACTCTTCAATATGGCTACTTCAATTTTTCCAAAGTGCTAAGACATAAATGAATAAATTAAGTATTCCAGAAAACTGTATCAGTTGGCCTTTTAAGACACTGTATTAACAAGAAGATGATTAAATGTGGAGTTTCTGCAAGAAACAGAAATACAAGATAGGAAGGAGACTTACTGCCTCAGGAATAAGATCTCTGGTCGAATACACTACAATTTATTTGGTGCAGACCTGTGATTTCATTGGTATGGGGAGCTCTCTTTCCACCTCTAGCCCTGAGAATAGTAATCAGATCAATGCTATCATTTTTGGAAAGGTTATGCCAATTAATTGCCCTATGGTTCCACTCATGGTCTCTGTGACTTCTCAGTTCAAAACACTGGCCACCACTCTCCTAATTATATTTTCCTATACTATTCTCCTTCAGGGTAGGGATTATTTGGCTTTTTTCTATTTTTATTTCCACTCAGCACATTTTCCTGTCTTTCCCTCTTGTTCCCTCCCTCCTTTCCTCCCTTCCTTCTTCTGATACTGAGAAGTTAAATGGCTTTCTCCCAGGATCATGGAGCCAGTACAGGTCAGACGCATCTCTCAGGACAGCTAGTTTTCTATCTTCCATATTACACTGCTTCCTCCTTGCTTTAACATCATACTAAAGGAAATTTCATACAAATGCAAGCCACTTTGAATGACGATAGATTTAAGGACGTGAGCTTTGCTGGAAGTATTTCATTAAAAATGCAACATCTGGGATTCTCTGTGATGTGCTTTCTCTAATGCCCCTAACACAAACTTTCCAACCTATTTTGACTATGAACAGCAGTGATGAAGAGCTGTACAATGGAAGGAATCCTGGAATTGGAATCAAGATCCTAGAAACCTGGGTTCAGGCCTTGACTCACCACATAATAGTCTAATCATGAGCAAGTTACTTTACTCAGCTTCAAGTTTCTCCTTTGTAAAATGAAGGGGTTGGATTAGAGAACCTTTAAGGTCCTCTCTTTCCAGCTCAAATATTTTATAAGTGACTGGCTAACCTTGTATGTATAAGGTTGCGAGAGGCAATACAGAGACAGAGAGCAAAGGAGAGAAATTTAGCATTTTGGTTGATGAAGCTTTGTCATTAAAGAATCTTTGAAAATTGGTCATGGGTCAGTTGGTGATTGGCCTTAATCCCTGCCATCCTCTGATTTCACATAACAAAAACAATAACAACTGTATGATACCATTGCTTAGTTTGATAATTACACACAAAAAACCCTGATTTTACTTTGATAAATTTAGCCCAATAGCCCCAAGAAGACAATTCTAAATGATGAAAAATACTAATCAGAACTTTTACACTGTTATTACATTTAAGAAAATTTACAAGTACAAGTATCGTTGACTCAGGGAATTTTCTGCAAGTAAACAATAGAAATAGTAAGAAAGTTTAGGATTTAACATTGTGAAAAGAAGAAAATAGGACAAAAAGTTAAGGAAAGCACACATATTAAGTAAGGCAAAGGTACAAGGATGAAAAATGTCACATTCCATTTTCTTAACTGACCAAAGTATATAAAATAAGACCCAAGTTAATTCATCTAAAGTAGCTTTTAAAAATAAATAAAACATATAACCTTCACACAAGAAGATATCAAAAGTAGGTGTTAGTTATAAATGTTACCTGGTAATTGTAGAGTTGAGTTCCATATTTTACAGATAGTTCATATAAGTGCCTAGGAATGTGAGATAATCCTGTTCTTGTGAGGTTTTCACTATTATGCAGTCCTGTTAGTCACACAAAATCAAACTGATTATAACAGAGAGCTCACTCATTATCTGGAAACTTGTACAGCTTGATGTCTATTATTAGTAGAAAACTAATAGGACTGATATGTAAGTTGTTTCCAAAGTCACACAATCCCACATAATTTTACTGGAATAAATTAAACACTACTTGTAGTTTAAAGTAGATATGAGATTACATACTAAATTTAGTGCCTAGGTTGGTGGCTTGGCCTGCATGTCATTATTCTGAACCCTTTCCTGGACACCTCAGCTTAGATGGGTCCTTCAAAAAGTAGCAGTGTTTACTTCAATATATTTTTAAAATACTAAGGGAAGTTCATTTATCAATCTCATGGCATGCAATTCCCAATTCCAAAACAACAAAAACCAAAAAGTATGTAAGAGTGTGTGTGTGTGTGTGTGTGTGTGTGTGTGTGTGTGTGTTTTAGAAGAGCACAGAAAGGTATGGAGAACCAGTGATGGTCCAAGTGAACAAGGCCAGACTGGGTTTACAAGTAACTAGCAGTTTGGAAACATATTTGTATGCAGTCATAGGGCTTTCATGACTTGAAACATCTAGAAAGATTTTAGAGATCCTTTTATCATTCAACTAAAACTTACCTATAAAGACAGAAGCCAGAAAGAACATCATACTTAGCATAATCTTCCATGAGTAGTATTCCCTAAATAACATAAAACCAAGAATACAATGTTGCAATAGTATTGGAAACCTTTTTGAGATATTGTCATGATTTATGTCTCTATCCCCTCAAATCCCCTCTGGCTAAGTTAATCTATTTGCTCTCTTCTTAAAATGGTTCACCTGTTTCTACATGTAACGTTGACCATATACCAGGACGGACTAATGTCTCAGAGAATAGAATGTAAGAAGCTTTCTATATCAGGTAGAAATTGTCTTAATTTCAAATTTCTGTGACATTGTGATATTGTGCCTTCTTCTGTTCTGTGTGTGTTTGTCTGGTCTCTTAATCCTTGCTACATTTTGATCTCTGGATGTGCTTCCACTTACCTGACTTCTGATAATTTCAGTTCTGCACTTATTTCCAACTCCTTAGTCACTTGCTTTCCCCTTCAGTTCAGGACTGAGTAGTTCTTCCCACCCCTTGCTATCCTCCTCATCTGACATCATCTGTCTAAGTTCTTTTCCCTGATTCTCTTTATAGAGGCACTGGGAAAATGTGCCTCAATTAAGAAACTGAGACTACTGCTGGACTTCTTGGTGAAAGGTACTAACAGCCTTCTCAATTGTTTTCTGGTCCAGTACTTTTCCCAGCTTCTTCTTACCTTTCCCCCATACTGCCTGTCTTATAGAATTGAGCACAACCAAGGAACAACCTAATTCTTTTCTTCATCCTCTCTTTTTGTCAAGGTCCATTTGGAGAGTCTTTCCTTATTTTCAAATGTTAGACCTCCCTGACTTGCCTTCCTTGGTTACAGAAGATCTAATCTTCCCCACCCTCCTACTTCATTGTGGGCACTACAGACTGACACTTTCCCCTCCAATGACTTTAGACATGGACTTGTGTTATGGAAAAATTTGAGTGGGGACATCTGTCTCAGCCTTACCCTCTGGAGGCTTTTCTAGTGGAAGGGTATTGCCCAAATCATCAAGTAGGGAATGTTGCTTTCCCCATTGGGCCAATTGCCTCTTAAGCCCCACAAAACCTGTCTTGAGGATTTTCAGCCTCAATATACTCTCTAGAGACTGTTTCCTCTTCACAAGGTCCTGATTTTCATTCTGAGCCCAGCCACAAAAATATTAGAGGGGGAGGCCCTAGTTGTTCCAGGAATTTACACTAAAACTAGACCTATTTCTCTATCCCCCTCCCTTCTTTGGAACACACACACACACATACACACACACACACACACAGAGCCCACTCCTCTGGATGTGTCTATCTGAACCATTAGGTTATCCTGTTAGGGAGAAGTTCAAGTTTGTTGTTCAAATGATGCTTTATCAAAATTGTGTACTTCCAACTTCAAATGGGTCTCAAATACTGAAAATTGTTTATGGACCAGGACCTTTCCTTCTGCCTGAAGCTGATGAAAACTGCTGCATCCTGTGTCCTAAAAGCATAGGTATCCAAACATTTAATAAATTTTGATTTCAAAAGCTGATGCTTCACCAATCCTGTAGTGACCTTTATGAACGACACTGACACTATTTTTAAGAGAGTATCCCAGGGAGGCACAGGTGATGTTGGGGCATAGGAGAAATTTCATCTCAAAGCAAATCTAGGAGGAACTGGTGTTTAGTTAGGTAGAAGGACCCGAAATCTGATCCACAGTTTCTTATCATTGCTTATTGTGGTTGTAGTCACGTTGTAAGGGGATGCCTGGGATCAGACCTGATGTCCCCACACAAAGTCTCCTGTGGACCAGGGTTCAGTGGCAGCTCTGCACTTGTCCTGGCACTCACCGACTTCTTCACTTTCCAGTATACATACTCACCGATTCAAACACGCCCTCACTCTCTCCATGTTCCCTTGATCACCACCTCAGCACTCTGTAGAAGTCTCTGAAACAAACAAGCAAAAAAAAATTAATAAAGTAAGCTTAAAGAAATGAGCACATTGAACAGAACCAGGAGAACATTGTACATAGTAGCATCAACACTGTGCAGTGACTGACTGATAGACTTACCTCTTCTCAGCAATACAATGATCTAAGGCGATTCCGAAAGACTCATGATGGAAAATGCTATCCACATCCAGAGATGCAACTATGGAGTCTGAATGTAGATTGAAGCACACTTCTTTTTTGTTTGTTTTGTTTTCTTTCTCATGATTTTCCCCTTATGTTCTGATTCTTCTTTCACAACATGACTAATGTGGAAATAGGTTTTATATGATTGTACATGTATAACCTGTATCAGATGGCATGATATTTTTGGGAAGGGAGAGGGGAGGGAGAAAAAAATTTGGAACTCAAAATCTTATAAAAATGAATGTTGAAAACTATCTTTTCGTGTAACTAGAAAAAATACTATTAAGTGGCAAACATTTTAAGAGAAAAGAAAAACAAATGAGCACATCAAAAAAAATAAAGGTCTAGATAATAAATACTGCTTTCCAAAGGGGAAAGATAGCCATTAGCATCCCAAAGAAGGCACAAATGATGTTGACAACTACATTATCACTTGAAGACTCTTAGACAAACCCTTTCAGTAATATATTGTGAGAATTATAAATATAAAAATAATTTCATAAAGGATTTCAGAATACCATTCCATCCATCTCGTCCAGCAGACTGCCCCTCAATCAACTCAGTCTCTTACTTGCCTTCAGTCTCTCCCAGTCTATGGGCTGCTTCCCTACTGCCCACCCTCAAAAAACCCTCACTTAATCCTTTCATATTTGTTATCTATCATCCCGTATCTATCTTTCCTTTTTTGGCTAAACTGTTTGAGAAAACTGTCTATTATAGATGCCTCTGATTCCTTTCCTCTCTTTCTCTTCTTAAATGTCTTCAACACAGCTTCCAGCCTCATCATTCAACTGAAACTGCTCTCTCCAAAGTTACCAAAGATCCCTTAATTGACAAATCTAATGGCCTATTCTCAACCTTCATCCTTCTCAACCTCTATACAGCCTCTGACCCTATTGATTATCCTCTTCCCAATACTCTCTTCTAGCTAGGTTTTTGAGACATTACTCTCTTCTGTTTCTCCTCCTCCTTTTTTGAAGATGACTCCTCAAGCTTCCTTGAGGGAACTTCATCTAGATTGTGTCCTCTAACTATAGGTGTCCATCAGGTTTCTGTGCTAGGCCCTCTTTTCTTCTTCCTCTATACTGTTTTCACTTGGTAATCTCAGCAGTTCCCAGTTATGATCTCTTTGCTGATAGTTCTTAAATCTACGTTTCCAGCACTAACCTCTCACCTGACCTCCAGACTTGTATCTGCAACTGCTTATTAGACATCTCAAACTGGATGTCCTATGTTGTTGTATTATTCAGTCACTTCAGTCACATCCAATTCTTTGAGATTTCATTTGGGGTTTTCTTGGCAAAGATACTGGAGTGGTTTGTCATTTCCTTGTCCAGCTCATTTTACAATTTCCTAGATGTCCTATAGATATCTGAAACTCAATATGCCCAAAATTGTACTCGTTATCTTTCCCCTAAACAGTCCTCTCTTCCAAACTTCCTTATTACTATCAAAGGTACACCATCCTTCCAGTCCCTCAGGCATGGAACCTGTTATCCTCAATGACTCACTAACTCTCTTCTCCCACATCTAATATAGTGCCAAAATCTGAAAATTTCTCAACAACACCTCTCATGTAAGCCCTTTTTCTCTCCTCTGCTGTTGCCACCACACTTCTGGCAGCCTTCATCTCCTCACTCCTGAACTCTTGCAACAGCCAGCTGGTTGGTCCACTGGTGGCAGATCTCTCCCCACTCTAGTCTGTCCTCCATTCAGCCACCAAAGGTATTTTCCTAAAGCTCAGGTCTGACTATGATATTCAGTCAACTCCACTGGCTTCCTAACACCACCAGGACCAAACTGAAATGTTTCTGTTTGGCATTCCAAGTCCTTCACAACCTAGCTCTGAGCCCCTCCTACTTTTCTAGTCTTCTTACACTTTAGACCCCACCCCACTCCCTCTATGTCCTCTTCAGTCGAGTGGTACTAGATTGCCTGGAATACTTTCTCCTTTTGGCTTCCCTGGTTTCCTTAAAGTCCTAGCTAAAATCCTATGTTTTATTGGAAGCCTTTCCCAATCACCTTTAATTCTAATGCCTTCTGTCAATTGTTTCCTTTTCATCCTGTATACAGTTTGTACATAATTGCTTGCACGTTGTCTATTCAATTGTGAATTTCCTGAAAGCAGACACTGTCTTTTGTTTTTCTTTGTGTATCCCTAGTACTTAGCACAGTGCCTGGCACATAGTAGGCATTTAACAAATATCTGCCGACTGACTGATGAAAAGAACTAATCAAGTAGTTATACAATAAAGAGTGATAAACAATCAGAGGAAATAGGTACATATTCTGGCAGAATTTGTACCCATTTCCTCTGATTGTTAATCTTGGATAAGTTACCTTTTCTTTGAATCTTTAAAATGAAAGTGTTGAAGATGATCTCAAAGTTTATCTATCCAACTTAAAATGCTATATTCTCCCCCTCCTTCAGCATTTCATGGAACTTTGTATTTCTCTTGTGCATTCACCAGAGGGTAATTTGGTATATAATTATTTATCTAGTTATCTTATGCTTCCTTGAGATCAGGGAGCAAAACATATTCATTTTGTGTGCCTAGAACACCTAGAATGGTATGTTGCAATTACTAAGTACTGAATAAATATGTGTGAATTGAGAAAGCAGATCTAACAACTAACAAAAAAGGTATCTTTGAATATTAGAGAAATACTGATTTCAACTATATGCTAGTAAGTGTCATGACCAAGTAGAAATTAGAAACTACTTAAAAAATAAAAGGTAAAAAAATGTATTGCCCAAAATAAAACACTTAAATATGCCAATAATAGTTAACAAAGAATTACCAAACAGTGGTCTTCAGCTATGACAAATTTACTAGAACATTATTTCAGAACTTCAGAAGAGTAACTATTTCCTATAGTCCATAAACTATTTTAAAATAGCTAGAATAACATTTCTTATACATAAGAGATTATTGCCTTGTACATGCATAATGGGTACTTCATAAATGCTCTTTGAATTAAATTGAAATGATTTACTACCTAGATAATTTTGAGGTAAATATGGTTTTGCTCTCCAAATCTGAAAAATAACTTAGACAAATAAAATTATAGGCCCAATTGAAATAGCTGCCTACAATAAGTTTAGGATTAGCTATAATCAAATAGTATTTATGCCTAGAATTGAAGGTTAGCGTGTTATGGGTCCCCACCTCAGCATGCGTTGGGGATGGGGATGGAATAAGATAGATGGAGGTATGGCATATCCCATCCATGACCTCATGGATATGTAAGTACCAGTTATGAATAGGGCACACATGATAGAATCCTACTAAAGCTGCCCCCAACCTCAATCACTGAACAGCAGGCATGCCCTGATTTGACCACATAATCTGGCTTTAACCACATCACAGGCCCCCAGACTCAATACAGCCTCCTGCTTCTAGCTAGCCTCTGTCGCCAGATACAATTCTCATGTTTAAAGAGGTGTGTCCATGGACTCAACAACAATCACATTATCCATCTAGCTCAATACAGGACTGTAACACCTATCTACCTTGACCAGACAGGACCACAATAGCTAGCCAAACAGAAAGCAGCACCACCAGGATGTAGGTCAGGGCGTTGGACCACTGAACCACAGAAGGGGCTTCCCCTAAGATAGCGCCTGTGCAGTAATAGTAAAGAACTGGCCTAGAGTAAACTTATGACATAAAGAGACTTATTATATCTTCATCATACATAAATCTCATCCCACCCCCATTTGGATTTTTCTGTATGCATTGTGGGTAGTGGCATGCACAGTTCCACTGAGGCTGGGGACCCACCCCTTACCTAATCCCTTGACAACCCCTTCATGCCTTTTTAATATTCACGATTTCTGTTGTATAATCAGCATCATTACCCTATGAAATTGCCTGTCTTGTCTTACTAAGCCACTGGTTCCTCTTGGAACTCATCCCATTAGAGGCGTCACTGCCAATAAATGCTTTCACTTGGACCAGAGGTGGTCTGAGTCTGAATTCTTTGAGATGACCTCACAACAAACCATGAAAACCACAAAATATAAGCAACACGATAAAAAAAAGATCTAAACTTTGGGAAATCAGCATCAAATCCCTGGAACTCCATTTTTGGCTTACTGATCTCCTATGGACTCCTTTGGCGCTGAATTTTCTAACTGGCAACTAGTTTAACTACTGGCCTCAGTCCCTTGGATGTTGGCACCTGGTAAGAAACCAGGCCTAGCCTTGCAGATTAGAATTGTTCTCATCTCAACTTCGGTCTTTCTTTCTTACTCTGGGCAGGATGTAACAGGTATGACATAAGACACATTATCAACATAATTCATCATGGGAATGGGAAAAATAATAAATATGGCAGTATTATCTTTATACTGAGAAGGTATTTAGTAAAATTTAAAATAATCCACCTGTAACATAACCTCCACTAATACCCTACTCCAATGTTTTATGGGATAGCGGTAACCTAGGTTTCTCACAAGCTGTGCCAACAGAGCCAAAAACTGACAGGTCCTATCAACCTGAAAGACTTTAGCTACAGATCCTCCAAAAAACTGTCTTCCAAAGACTATATTCCAAGTGCTAAATTTTCATCACGAAAATAATGGCTGTTGTATACACGTTGTCCTGCCTGTGAACAGACACTGTTTCATTTGTCCTTGTACCTCCTTCACCCAGCCCTATGCCTGGCACATAGTCAGAATTTAATAAATGCCTGTTATTGACTGTCACCAAACCTACTTAACATAGTACTATAAAGGTTTGCAATGGCTCTTAGAGGCATAAAAAGGTTTAAGTATGAGAAAAGAATTCAAATTGAAGAATCCTACCT